TCGTTTTGAAAGTGTCAAACTTTTGTAAACAAAATTGCTGTTCCGTAAATATCTTAAATACCCTTTACCCAATTCTGTTGTAATTTGGCAGTGTTATTTGTAGTGCTAATTTAACCCTAACTTGATTAGATTTATTACGTCCAGTGGCGTCCCGAGCGGTACCTTAACGAATATTTTTGACAAAAAAAATGTAAGCTACTGACTTTTTTGTAATTTTTATATATATGTTTTTTGGATTAAGCAACTAAAAATACAACTTTTTGTCTATCGAATTTTGTTCGTATCTTGATTTAATTTTCGGAGAAAAACAATAAAATACACTGAATTGCATATCCCTGGACAACACAAAAATAGGAAATAATCATAAAAATATTCGTATTCGTATATGATCCAGAAACCAAGCGCCAATGTACCGAGAGTAAGGCGCCAGAAAAACCAAAACCCGAAAAATCTCGTTTGGAGAAAAGCATACAATGTTGATTTGCTTTTACGATCCTAAAGAAATTATCCACAAAGAATTCGTTCCACCAGATCAAACCATTAATGCATAATTCTATCTTGGCGTTTTGAAGCGTTTACTACATCGTAAGTATTCATTGTATTCGGACACAATACAGCGCAGAAAGAAGTTGCAAGACAATGCGCCAACGCATCGATTAACACTTGTGACTGATTTTTTAACTAAAAATCGCATTTTAATTGTTAGTCACTCCCCGTATTTACCTGATTTGGCATCGTGCGACTTTTACCTTTTCGGAAAAATGTATTTACTGATGAAAGGAAAGCATTTTGTGGACGTAAAAGCTATCCAAAAGGCTTGTACTGACATCCTGAAGAACATCCTGGCCGACGATTTGAAACACCCATTCTAGATCGTGCAGATCCCTGTATCGAGTCGGAAGGGGGCTATTTTGAATAAAATAAATCAAAAAACTTTTTGTTGTTCATATTTTTAATATGTCCTGTTTATTTTGGAACTATAGAATAACTACCGAAATATCCCCACATTGAATAAATCAGAGATAAGGAAGGAAGATAAATTCAACAAAGTTCTTAAAGCAAAAGCTTTTAATCTTCAGAATTAAATAGTATTCATTTCTAAATTGTAATCAGAGTTCACTCATCTTAATTTTGGTAAAAGCTGCTTTGACTTTATTACCTTTCAGTTTCACAGTGCCTCTTCTAAAGTTACAATATTTCATGGCAGTAGATTCGGTATCTCAGACAATTACAGAATTCTGCAATAGGATATTAAAAGGGGTGAGAATAATGTGAGCATTAAAAACTCTTATTTCAAATTTGGTAACTAATTGTTTAGTATTACTAGACTAAGTTGATATACTATTTTCTTGAAATGTCTTTATTGAAACCACAGTTCAGTTTTGCTCTAAACTGACTTTCATGCAGACTATCCTAGTGAATACGTGTAGAAATTCTACAACACTATATTTAATATATCTCTATTTTAATGACATTTAAATAAAAAGTCGTTTCTGTTTGAACAGGCTAGAGCGTGTATATGGTCCCGTGTAAAATTGAGTACTGAAAAACAAATAAATCATTATTCGTAAGAACATAAACATATAGCACTTCATTAAATCGAGAATCTATATGTGACTTATACTTACCATATTTTTCAGCTATCGTAGTTGTTCACAATGCCACCACAACATTCTAAATGAATATCTAGAATGTGAATTGTCTCGTACACACTTAAAAATTCCTAGTATCATTCTAATTTTCTAAAGAGCGGCTAAAAGTTTCATATAAAAAATAAAGAAACATCTTGCAACAAAATGTGCAATGTAGAAATTAAAAAGTCCACAAATAAGTCAATAGCGAAATCTGAAAAATACTGTACCCATGATTCAGTTTTAAGTGCGTTTTTTTAATCGTCTTCATCTTTCAAATTTAAAAATAAGTTACCAAATTTGTTTTCATACTCTCGAAAATCGTATGAAGCTTACTTACATTAATCTTGGGTCTCTCAATCTGTAAGCAATAATTAAGTAAACAATGTGTACTTGTCTCATACAAATCAGAAAAATTTTCTTACATAAAATGTGATTCTAATTTAAAATAATTACCAAAAGCCTTATTGTACTTTTGCTGTAGTTCCTACGTCAAGATATACTCGATGTGATTTTTTTTAACTATTTCTAGAGTAGTGGTTACTTCTTTTGAGAAGACTAAACTGAAAGCAATGAGTAAAATAAGTCTCAAATAGTCCGAAGAGATAGAAGATCGAATTCTGACGCCTGTGTGTAAAAGTAAAACAAGTAAGGTTCAATATGATTCAATAATAAGAAACATCAATATTGTTTCTCATTCACTTCAATAACGCTAAATAAAGATTTACATAATATGTACAATAATAATTTAGACAATTAAAACGCTATGCTAAATTATTACACCACAAATGAATCTAAGTTTGTGGTCTACTTAGATCGCTAACACAATTCACTACACCCTCACAGTACCAATAGGGGTAACCATGTGATCAATTTCATTAGCTTAGCAAAGCAGATTGGTGAAAATTCACACTTTTATCTTAGGGTCTTAGGGCGAGTCGAGAGAATCGCACCAAACTCCAGGAGTGGAATCTACTCGTCAAAATAATAAGAAAAAACTCAAATGTTATGCGATTTTCATTTGTTTTAATAAAATATTGATATTCTATTAATTATAGCGTTCTTTGATTAAATGTTTAAAAATACCACCATTGACCTTTAAACATTTTCTGCTTCATGTACGAAGGACATTTGTAACTCTCGTGATGTTGCATGCCTTTCTTACTGTCGTATTGATGATACCTACGTCGAATTAGTGCCTCCAGAGTGTTCATTCTAACTTTGTATACTTTATATTTGAACAAGTCCTATAATCCTATAACCCTATAACAGTAATCTAGTGCTGTGAGGTCTGGAGATCTTAGAGGCCAACTAATAGGACTACCGCGACCAATCCAACGCCCTGGAAACTTCTAGTTCAAATATAGCTTTACTGGATGAGCGAAATGTGCACTAACTCCATCGGGCTGGTTGTACATTCGCATTCTCATGTTTATGGGAACATCCTTGAGTAGTACATGAGATTTTTTAAATAAATTAAGTAGTGGTCTCAGGTGAGTCGATTCTCTAAAATGAAAGAACCAACAATTGATAATACCACACCACATATTTGCGAGTGATGCGTGAGGATTTTCGTCTGACCATGCATAAGAGTTCGTGTATTAGTTATGCCGTCACGGGTGAATCTTGATTCATCCGTAAAAGTATGCGGGATACAAGATGATTATTATTGATTCATCGACAAAACTCAATACGCTTATCACAATCTTCCGGTTATTGGTGTTGTACTCTCTGTGCATCGTACGGATATAAGCCTTGCTCGTGGATAGTTTATATTACTTTTTTTTTCAGAAATGCTCAGTTGAGTATCAATTCTTCGTAAGCTGGTAATTGCTTCATCTTCTACTAGACCCAGAATATTTTCTACTTCTTTTAAATTTTGTCGACGGGCTAGTTCAAATGTTATACTAGCACTAATAAAACTCTGATAAAGACATTTCTATCAGGATATCTGCTATGTGGAAACCCTCAACAGCAGCATTAGCATTCCCATTACAAAAATCATATTTGCGTACTCAAAATTTGAATAAGTACTTGGCATTTTGTAACTCTTAGATAGTACGACATTGCGACATAAAATGACACTGACAAATATCCTGCTTTTGAATTTGGAACATGACATACTCTGATTTCAAATTTTAAAAATTTGTAATTATGCTATAACAAATGAAAATCGCATAACAGCATTTGAGTTTTTTCTTATTATTTTGACATGTTGAATCCATTCCTGGAGCTTGGTCCGATTCTCTCGATTCATCCTGTATTTACATCAAATACAGGGTGTCCCGAAATTCATGCAACAAAATTTGGTAACAGATTCTTAAGACAAATTTAGGGGACCCGTATTTTTTATTTTTGCCAAGTGGCCTCCTCTTTCGGAGTTATAGCTCCCTGAAGTCCGCCCCTAAGAATAATCTTTTTTTATATCTCAGAACCCTGTTATACGAGAATCACTAAATTTGGTACACAGGGGTTTTATGACATGTGGAATCTGATGGTGTTACGTTTTTTGACGGAAACCCCTTAAGATAATTTTTCGTGGGCCCCCTTGTCTTTGGAGCCAAAAAAATTTGGTCGCATATTTAAATTTCTTAAAAATTATCTGTCCACTAGAAAGTTTCTAAAAAAAATTAGAAACTTTTTGACTGTTTATACTTTTTTCGTAAAACGCAATGTTTTCGAGAAAAATATCAAAGTGTGATCGAATGCATATCGTGATTCGCCATTTCCCTCAAAAACATCAAGTTTTACGAAACAAATATCAAGAGACAAAAAAGTTTCTAAATTCAACGGCTTTCTAGCTAACTAATAATTTAAAAAAAATCAAATTTGCGACCAAATTTTTCTGGTTCCAAAGACAAGGGGGCCCACAAAAAAGTGTCTTAAGGGGGTTTCTCGCCAAAAAGCGTAGCAGTGTGAGATTCCACATGTCATAAAATCCCTTTGTACCAAATTTACTGATTCTCGTACAACATGGTTTTGAGATATAAAAAAGACTTCTTAGGGGCACATTTCAGGGGGCTGTAACTCCGAAAGACGGGTCCCCTAAATTTGTTTTAAGAATCTATGACCAAATTTTGTTGCATGAATTTCGGGACACCCTGTATAGTAAAAATACATAAAATATTAGGAATACATTGTAAAATGCAGTAAGAAGTAACAGTACACTGAAAAAAAAAGAACATAATACACTCAAACGCATAATTCTACCCAGCCTATGAAATATATTTAATTCTTTTACACATTTTGTAAGTAAATTTCTAACATTTTTATATCTAAAATATATATTAAGATTATTTTTTTACTTCACATCCTATAGATAACTCCAATTTCTGATTAACACTTTTTGATTTACATTTTCTGTTCCAGACCCGCCTGCCCGAGTTCTTTATTCCATACATGGGAGACTCTTTTGCAAGAGGTCGAGATCGACTCGCAGGCACTCGGAGACATCGCCTCCATCTTGGGGAGACAAGTGTCGCGACCGCTACTCGAAAGGTCCTTTCACAGGAAAATCCAGTCCAGAAAAGTATTCACGCAGCGGGAAAGTTACGAGACCATCATTGCCAAGACGGAGGAGAAGCTGGCCAAGGTAATTAGTTTTACTATTGCACGTTTAATTGGAATATTTTTAGGCTCGCGTTAAAAATATAATTAACAGGGACAACACATGTTTGTATTCTAATATTGTGCTGCTGTTTACGATAAAATGTTTTTCTACTCGTATATGCGATAGTAGGAATTTTTTCATGGCTTACTCGATATGGCAGTGACAATTTTTCTCTCTTAAATCCAACAGTTACGAGGAACTAAAATGAATATTTGAAATTTATGGTTTTCCTAAAACTATCTCCATCAACTTCGACTTGCTATATACGTAATCCATTTTTGACATTTGAAAAACTAATGTAAACACTATCGCAAAAACATTAATATTATAATCGGATTTCAGTATTCGAAATCGCACAACGCTAATGACGCCAGAGACTACAGTTCTATATATCTTGACTCAATTTTTCATAACGCTTCTATTCCCAAATTTTTTTGGATAAGTTGTGAATCACCCTGCATTTAAATTCTAAAATAAAGTGATATAATTTTCCTTGACAAATGTTGTTTATCTGCAAACAACTAAAAAATAATTAAATATTTACTGTTATCATTTTTAATTAAAATCAACATAAACTTATACAGAGTGGTTCAAAAAAGTACCGCTACTCTTGGGATAAAATTATTGGAATAATATGTTACGTTTAAAGCTAGTATACAGTACGAATGTTAAATTAAGAAAATTTAAAATACAACATTGTGGAAAATATGTTTTAGTAAATATTTTCACATTACATACGCCGTCTTGTAGATATAAATTATAGAATCCAATATTATTAAAATTTAGGTAATACAATAAAAGTAATACGTACATTTTGTGGAATTACATGAAACTACTTTTTATACGTGATTACAATGTAATAGAGCACAATAATATAGTATTTTTTGGTTAAATTCAACCTTTCTTCTACACTCCTAGTCAATAATCTAAACACTCTGTGTGTATATTTAAACAACATTTCTAATAAAGGAATATACTGTTCATTCTCGGATATGCAATCGGGAAAAATTACAAACGTGATATTTTTCAAATAGTTACCATTTGAAAATATTATGCAGGGCCTTCACAAATAATTACATAAAAATTATCAAGGTTACATTAAAATACAACATTTTGTTTCGCTAGCTGTGATTGGTGTAATTATTCACGACATTTCCTTCAACCAATGAGCGATCGGATTATCTTGAGCGCAGACTCAACGGTTTGTCATTGTTCATTGTAAACGAATCATTAATAGTGATGACGCCAGGATCTAGGAAATTTATCGTTACCAATAGGTACCAATCGTACAATGTTGGGTTGCCTAAGTTCGGGGTCACGTGGCTTTTAAACATTTATGTAAGCTATGTAGCTTGAATATTCAGTTTACCCAATACATTCCTCTTTTATCAAATAATTCAGAGACCTTTTAAAATCGTCTGGTAATACCTATCCCACCACACCATATCTCTCGTAAACAAATCACAGGGACACCCGATTTGAAAATATATTATTCACTTAAACTAGAATCCACGAAAAGAAACATCAGTTTTGAAAGAAATCCTCAGCTCGAGAATAATTACAAGTATTTGTTTGAATTGGACTCCTGCCAACAGAGTTATCGCAACCATTTACATGGACTTGAGAGGAATGGAGTGTCTCCCAGCACTGCCTCAAAATGAACTAGATGTACTCCTATCAGTTCTTATTAACATAAATAGACCTAGCCTGGCACAGAATTAAGCCTCATCTAGCTACTCTGCGAATAGAATGGGATACATATCTGGCGCAGGTCGCACAGACCCGCATTCAAAATTAAGGCCTATCTGTGTAGAAGATCACGCATTATCTGATTAATAATGAAATAGTGGTAGTAATATTTCTTGTTAAGTACGTATTAAACGGTGTACCTATTATTATAGTCAATAAATTCACAGTTGAACGCTTGGTATTGGTTAAATTTATTAAATTAGAAACAGAATAATATCAACCATTTGCAGGATAAAATAATTACACTTAAAACTGCTACGGCTGCTACTATTAAGTTGAGATCTGGTAAGCGTAAGATTTAAGATATAGGTGCTGAGAATCTTATTATTTCGACAAGAAGGTATTTTTACAGTGATTACAATAAAAATTGCAAAATTTCAGTTTTCAAGATTTCCTTGTTTATCTAAAATTATAATGTCCTAAAAATCAGCAGGTTGAAGCGTCAGTAACGAAGAATTCCAGTTTGAGGTATATTATAACAAGTGACAGTAATTTTTTGTTCAACCCAAGCCAAGGGTGAAAAAGATAAAACAAAGGGGTTTTTCAAGATAACTCAAAAGTGGTAAGGGCTAGAAGAAAAAGTATGCAATTCTACATAAAAATGGCCTCTTGACTTTTTCTTGTACTATTAAAATTAACAAAGTTAGGGACGCTAGAAGTTAAGATTTCAGAAATTTAAAAATTAATGAATTTTTTTTCAATCTACTCTAAAAATTGTACCCTTTCCTTTCTGAGAAATAGATATATCTTTTAATTTTTAATAAGAAAGTTCAACAATTTCAAATTTTTTATCGTTAATTTTAATGATTTAAAACTTTTTCTATGCCATTCAATTGATTATTTAAAATAATGAAAAGTCGCCTTCGAATTTTTTTTACGTTTGTTTTTTAGACACAAATTTATTTACTTCTTTATCTTTTGAATTTTATTTAGCTCCTACACACTGCCAGGACAAAGATAAAAAATCACGTTTGCTTTGTCGCGCTCATGGTACCGAAGTGGATATTTACGGGGGGAAATACACCCTCAAAGTTCGTCCCCCAAAACAGTTTTTTCTAAATATCTGGGATTCTAATCAATATTTTGAAATGAAACGAAAGGAAATTACTTATTATAAAAAACAAATATTTCGCAAGTGATTCCGTGTTTGGAGGTTGCTACCCTTATTTTTTTTTCAGAAAAACTATATTTTTTATTTATAAAAAATTCATATCCTCAACTCAAAAAGAATTAAAAATATGATTTATATAAACAAATTGACAAAATTAAATTGACCTGTTTCGGGGTTTTCGTTAAAATCTCTGTTTAGGGGGTGAACGACAACTTTAAAATTGTTATGACTTTCTTATTAATAATTAAAAATTATATCTATTTCTCTGAAAAGAGAGGTTACATTTTTTAGAGTAGATTGAAATAAGAATTACAAAATTCATTCATTTTTCTGCTTGTTATGATTTTTTTAAATTTCTGGAATCTTCTCTTAACTTCGAGCCTCCCTAACTCTGTTAATTTTAATAGTACAAGAAAAAGTAAGAGGCCATTTTTATGTAGAATTGTATGGTTTATAACTTTTATAAGAATTCTTTTTCTATTCCTTATCTTGAAAAACCCCTTTGTTTTATCTTTTGTCACCCTTGGCCGGAGGTTGTCTGACTGTCACTTATTGTTATAATATACCTCAAACTAACTCATATCAAAAATTCAGGCAAGTTGACCAAAATTTCGATTTAAAGGCTTATTTAATTGGAATATAAGTTCTTAATTTAATAAACGTATTATTTGATAGTAGACAGCAAGTAACCGATATGTACTCTATTCCCCAACCCACTACTTTGCCACTAAGCATCCTACCCGCAGGATTCAAATGAATTCAATTTACCTGTATTAAATCCGTGTCTTTCAAATATGGATTATGATGACGACTTCTTCTTTCGGTTTCCAAATCTTTGTGATATTATGAATCAGAAGCAGTTTTTGAAATGCCTCAATGATGGTTCAATAATGAACTCATACTTTGTCTTCTTTGGTCTTTGACACACTTTGATTTAACATGTTTTTTCTCACTGCACACGTTTTGGCATGTTCATCATTTAGTTGACTATCATCTCGGGCAACATCCTGTCTGTACTGTTTATCTCTGGTTTTCTTTTATGTAGCTGTTGTTTATGTTACTCCGATGTGTGTCCCCTGGATCGTAAAACGTCTTGACTTCTAACTACTCCATAATGTCCTGCGGGGTTATTGGATACGTTGAGTGAACTAAATGGGCTACATTGGCTTCATGCTGTTGTAAACTCTCATTTATCCTTTGAGTTATGCTTTTTAGATCTGCTTGGTACCTATTGTTAGTACTATATTAACAACCAAATTCCATCTCTGCGTCGTCATAATTATTGTATAATGCCCCTAAAATTTGTAAAACTTCTAAGGATTTACCTTTCAGTAATTTTACTAGGGCTTCAGCTTATTCGCTGTCGGTCCAGTTATTAACTTTTGCCGCGGCATCAAGTTGTTCCATGTATCTTTGTCAAGAAGATTTATCATCACTGTCTATCCTATATCTGTCCTATGTCTGTTTTGGTATTATTTATCCTTCTGATCTTGATCATCTAATTGTTTCTAAATATCATTATTCATACCCCCTCTAATTGATTTCTCACCTTAGTAATTGAATCATTCATATACGCTTTATTAGATCTTAATGCAGCATGTGTCCAGCATTCATATTTAATCTTATTGTTAGTGCATCCTGTTTGATCTTTATTGCCCTCATCATTTCCATAAGCTCTTTCATTGATTTTTCCATTTGTGCTACTTTAGATCTTGTGCTCACTGGCATTCACAAACTAACAATCCTCCGAATTTCCTATAATTAGCGCAATTTGTATACAACATTTTACAAACTATGACAACTTTTACAAAAACAAAATTACAATTTAACTTTCAAAAACTTTCTCTTGCGGATTAGCGCTACGCTCTTATACATTTCATTGTTTTCACAATGAGCACGGTATTTTGCACACGCCGTGTGCTAAACATTTTGCACACGGTTATGTCATCTTTGCACACGCGTCTCCAGATTGTGATTTTTGTTTGATGTTGTCACCCAAATTATGCAATGTTTCAAGTTGGCTGAGTTTCATAGCGGCTCCTTTATTTTGTTGATTAGATACTTCAAAAATTGTTGAATTCCCGAAGTTTGGGTGTGAAAATGTGTGATTTTGAAGAAATTTTACAGAAAGCACGCGAAATATGTTCGAAACTGCTGCCCACAAAATCCAGAAGCAGGTATGAAGCTGAGTTAAGACGATTTATGGACTGGCGACTAGCCAAAAATGTCCAAACTTTCTCAGAAAATGCAGTAATGGTGCATTTTGAAGAACAATCTAAGAAATATAAATCTTCGACGTTGTGGACGATTTTTTCAATGCTCAAGTCAACGTTAAGTGCCAATCACAACATAGGTCTTGGAAGCTATAAAAAGTTGCAAGTGCTAATCAAACGAAAATCCGAAAACTACGTCCCAAACAAGTCCCTAATCCTCACAGAAGATACGACAAATATTTACTTATAAAGACGGTGGTGGCAGTTGGACTATCTGGGGCATGTCGAAGGGAGGAATTATGTTATCTCAAACTAGAAGACACCAAAGATTTCGGCAGTGCTATGCTGATTAAACTGAAGAATACAAAAACAAAGGTACCAAGGTGTTTTACAATTACAGGAAACCTTTACACTATCTTAAAAAAGTACTGTGCTCTTCGTCCTCCTAATCTGAAGACAGGCAGGTTTTTTTTAAACTATCAAAACGGAAAATGTTCAAGCCAAAACGTTGGCATCAACAAAATTGGAAACATGGCTAGGGAAATCGCCAAGTTTTTGATGCTAGAGAATCCAGAAAGTTACACGGGACATTGTTTTCGGCGTTCATCGGCCACAATTTTAGTCAATTCTGGCTCAAATCTGCTTGCCCTCAAACGCCATGGAGGGTGGAAATCCAGTACAGTTGCCGAAGGCTACGTTGATGACTGTTTGAGAAATAAAATGGAAATTTCGAAAAAGATAGTTTTCAGTGTCTCCTGCTGCCACAGAATCAGAACAACGATCGTCTACTGGAATACAACAAGAAAACAACGACCGCAAGCTGAAAAACTGCACTAAAAACACGACACCGAAAATATTCTCTATTACCGAAAACAAGGTGCACAATAATACTGCTTTTCCCAGCGTAACCTTGAAGGAATGTTCAAATATTAAATATTAGTTTCTTTTGTTAATGCGTTAGCAATTTTCTTAATAAAAACGAGTTAAATTAAAAGTTGTATTTAATTTATTTTGTTAATGCGTTGGCAATTTTAGTAATAAAAACGATTTAAATTAAAATTTGATTTTTGTGGTCTCTGTTTGCAGTCATATAAAAAGTATCGTAAAAAACTAGTTTGAAAACCTCTGCACACTCGCTCGACTTGTGGACCTCCCCTTCGGCTCGGCCCACCAATATGTCTCGCTCGTGTGCAGAGTCGTTTTCACACTTTGTTGTTTAATATACTATTAAGTCACAACCACGTCACAACCTTTAACTCATTTACTTACGTTTCTCTCTCTTTTGTTCCAGTGTCGTCAAGAATACAAGAACGCTTACTTGTCGTACTTAGCTGCGCCATCCACTGAAAGTCTGAGTGCGTATTTCAACACGCACAATGCCTACATTCAACAATTACACGCTACGAACGGCATGATGGAGGAATATGGAAAATGTACTCTACCGTCTTTACTACAGGTAATTGGTGCTTGTGTTTCCTTTTTAAACGAATTAGTACGCTGCTGGTCTCCTTATTTCTTTCTATATAAAATGAAAAAGTTGCTATGAAAGGGTAAAACGTTTCTTAAGCTTATTTTATAATTGATTAGTTCTGAGCTTTTCTTAAATGAAAAACTCTTTACGTAAATATTTGGAAATAATATTGCAGCTAGTAATTTAATATTTCTAGTTTGAAGAACAAGAATACCAAAAACACTTATTCAAATGACATACCAAAAGTTAGTTGTGGTTATTTTTTGAAGACATATAAATATAATGTAAATATTATTTAATAGTACATACGTGGCTTCTTAGGAAATATATTTTAATAGTTTAGCGGCGATTGGCATCGACGTAATAAATATTAGCTAATTCCGTATTCCTAATCTCGAGTACATGTCGAATTTCACTCAACTTCCAAATTCCGAATAGAATTTGTCACCCCGTTTCAAATCTAACCGCCGAAACAGACCACAAAGCCCCAAACCGTTTCAAACACCCCAAGTCGTAGCAGATGAGATCTGGAAAGCCAGATGTTGTTGGTAGAGCGACTGCCAATGACTCTCACAAGAGGAAATTTCACACCAGAATTTCTATGAAAACATCATTAATGCCACGACAATAGCTAGATTCCACGACGGGGCAAATCAGCAGCCATAAATCGACCAAATCTGGAGAACCCGTACCGAAGAGCACTCCTTAGGAACTGGCAGGACCATCGTGAAGCGGAATCGAACGTCAACTTTGGGATCTCGCAGTTCTATAACCAGGACAGAAGTCTGACCAGTGTCTGTACACGTCTAGAATTCAAGCGAGTTCATTGTCTTTCGATAACTTGCGTATTTAAGAATACATAAGTCTCAAGAATATACTGAAGGTTCAACAAGTCCAAAAAAATATATCGAAAAACTAAATAGTTTCTTCCGAACTTTTACATATTACAATTTTTTATACAGGGTGTCCCGTTTAAAACTCCCCAGCTGGATATTTCGAAAACGGAAAAGATAAATGATTTCTGAAAAATCCACTGTATAGTATAGAAGTGTTCAAAATTGCCGCCATTCTCATGGATACATAATTCATATTTTTTTCTAAGTTCTGTATCAGTTGCCCGTAATAAAACATTTCGAGGAATAGATCGCATAAATTTTATTGCACAAGTCAGCCAAGTCTTTAATTTCTGTTTGGTAAATTAGGTTCTTTAGGTAACCCTACAAGAAAAAATCGGGTGGGGTTAAGTCAGGGGTGCGAGCAGGCCACCTTATTGGACCATTGGTGCCTATCCATCGCCCATGAATATTCATGAAGAAAACGTGGTTTGGAAACGTCTGTCTTTGGTCCATCTAGGGTTACTGTCATGCCAGAAATGGCTATTATGTCTATTCAAAATGCCATTTTTTGTAAATCGACTCTCGTCAGTCCCTATAATGTTATTTAAAAACTGGTCGTTTTCTTGAGCCTTTATTTCCATTTCTGCAATAAAATTTAGTCTTCGTAGCATATCTTCGTAAATTATGTAAAAGATGCACTTTGTAAGGATGTATTTCGCTTTAAGATATTATGGACCGATGTTCCGGAAATCCTCGTTTCTTGTTGTATAGCTCGCACCGAGATATGTGGATTAGTTTCAAGCTTACCTAATACCACGGCAGTATTCTATCATGCTTCTTTTTGTTAAAAGAACCACAATGAAGCAAATTCGAGACAAAAGAGAGAAGAGAAAAAGGTTTTATGATCAGGATATCGACGGTTTGGGTAACGTACCTGATAAAGTCTTTCTGCTTCTCTGGAATTTCTACGGCATTTACCGAATATTAAAGCTATGTCGAGCTTTTCTTCATTCGTGTACTGGACCACATTGAATAAATGTCAAATGTGTCAAAGTTGAAGGTGTAGACTGGTAATTATGGTAATAGTAATATGTAATCAACTTTGACACTTCAAGAAAACAAAAGAAGATTCAAGAAAACGACCAGTTTTTAAATAACATTGTATGGACTGACTATGGATATTATTTGTAATTTTTATTAATTTTGCATCGGTTTTTGTTAAATAAATATTACTTTATCTTGATCGAAAAGACTATGATTTGCGTAAACAAGATGAAGTAATTTCCTGTGATATCTATTAGTTAAATAAAATTAATTCATCACTGTTTTATTCAAAGCAATCTAATACGACGAAAATCTGCAGTAGTTATGCCTGAAAACTTAACTTTAAAAAATCTTCCTCCTGGAAAAAATTACCTCAAATCCAAGTATCTCGGAAACTAGTGGCTTTTCCAAAATTGTTTATATCACAAAAGTTGCTTATAATTTCGAGATCTTTCATTTGTGCCACTTTTCAAAACTGCTGTCAACAAAATATGTTTTCGGATTGCAGCGACATCTATACCTGCACTGAGAGGAACGGGATTTGTACTCACAAGTAAAGCCATTTATTGAAATTATACAGTGAATTTTTCAGAAATCATTTATCTTTTTTCGTTTTCGAATCCAGGTGGGTAGTTTTAAACGGAACACCCTGTATATTATTTTTCTAATTTGCTTAGATTTTCTAAAACCCTCGTCAAAAGTCCTATAAATTCACAGAAAATTACGAATAAAAACGCCTCCCTTAACACGATCCACCCACTCTCCAATTTTTGAAAGTCCTTTCGACATATGTTGCAAATACCGCCGACAAGCAAAATTAAAATTTGCCCCACCGGCATGAAAGGCGTGATATAATGAAAATGGCTCTCGAATGCTTTTTACGAAGTTAGTGCCTAAAGCATTTAATGATAATGAAATGACATGTCGGTGTATTCAGCCGCAATTCGCCGGATCCCCGTTTAAATTTATTAGTAGCTGCCATTCCCTTGTAAGTACCCTATATTGGTGTAGGACATTTCCAATTCATTGGATGCCATTAGCAATCCACTTCCGTGGGTCAAAGCCTCATTATCCTGAATTGACATACCTCTTGCTCAATATCCTCACACACGTAATAAAGTTTGATGTTTTCTATATCGCAATTTACTTGTATCGATATTTTACAGCCGTTGCTAACAGCATCCGAGGAAATACTGAAAACTTTCAAATGACAATAAAAAGTTGCACAAAATATCTCTCAACATCTTTCGAACATAAATTTTTAGACCTAATTACAGTAACGAAATATTTTATACAATATTTCTTATGAAAATATGAATTTATAAAACAAAGGTAATAATTTTCTTTCTTTATTTTTTGGGTATTTTGCCACCTGTGAAAAATTTAGAAATTAGTATCAGTCAATGGTCATTTTTATAAAAATAGTTTTGCGTAAAAAAATCATACAGAAGAAAGCAGACAAATACAAAATACAACAAATACATCACTTTATATCGCGCCCTTTAAAAAGTTGTTGATGTTTGGAAAATCTGTTTTCGTCTTCTGAATTTATTATAACTTAATTTTGGTAACTTTTTAATAAGACAATATCTTAACAAAATTAATAAGTTAAAAACTAAGTGATTATTCCTTAAATTTAACAATTCCATTTGACAAGAATTAAAGCGAATTTTTTGCGAAATTCGTTCACATCGTTTGTAATTATATTACAGAGATAATAGATTTATTCCATTTTATTGGAAGAACGAGTCATGAATTCATAATATAACTTACAATTCAAATTATTTTCACTGACATAAAACTTAGAGTAGGTATACAATGTAAAAGAATCGATGTGAGTGAAAGTAATAAAGATTCAGAGTAAATCCATTGAGTCAAATTATTGACTACATTTTCACTCAATATTGGGCATTTTGATCATTTTACTCATTTGTGATTATACTTAAACTAAAACTGAGTACTTTCACTCAAATTTATGTACTCCTTAAATAAATTCTTCACGTAAACTCGTATTTGGTGCACTTGTACCTAAATCAGAGTAAATGTCCTCATTACATTACATAAAACTACACAAGCTTCTAAGAATAATTTTGGAATAATCATGAAATTAATAAATAGACAAATGTATAAACGAAGAATACTAGTGTTACATTCACTAGTGTTAAAAATAAATAAAAAATAGAAATAAGATTTATTTTATTACATAATTCACATTACTACATATTATTATTATTATTATTATCAATGTCGGCCACTGTTTTAATCTTGACCTTGACTCTATGGTACAGTAAAAACAAATTCACGATTTTACTTACAATTACTAGTTTCTAAACATTGTTTTAATCATGAGCAATTCTCAAACTGTTTCTTGGTATTAGGTAAATTAGTTTATTTAAAGTTTCAGAACTGCAAAAATGAGTAAATAATTAATATTTTGGTTGTGTTTTGTTTACCATTCAAAAACTTCAAGTTTGTAGATGTCCAAAATATTTTTATTATGTCATAATACCAGTAAAAAGTAAAAACATGCGAAAAAAAATTCCTCTTATGGTCAAGATTACCTTAAAGTGAAACAAATATATTTTATTATATTTTTACTTTCATAGCAGTTATTTTAATAGGATCTAATTGTAAGCAATTTAGAATAGAAGCGATATTTCTTCACTACACCAGTTACACAAGTTTTGTCCAAGGTATAAGACAGTTAACAAGCTGACAATACTTTCAGAATAAGGGAAAAAAAGCAAAGGTATATTTATTTTTTATGTTTATCATTACATTTCCTGAACTTTACACATCCTTTGAATATACAAAAAATTGCGTACGGTACTATACTCCGCAGAATGCTTTTGGGAAACTAGTAACACAAATTAATCATAATTATTTAGTATTTTTACAAGTTCTCCACAAAACACAAAAAGGTGCAGTTCAGTGTTTACATGGATTTAGATGGTATTTCTTGCTCTATCATTGTCTTACTAAAAGTGCGATTCCTTGTCTATAAAACGCCAGCCTTATAAGGACTATTAAACGATATTAATACATATTTCCAAAACGTTCTACTAAATATCACAAACGTATATAATTCCATTATAGGTCGCTACT